TGACTCAGTTTGTTGAGGCATGCATGAATAGAACAGGCAGGTTCCTCCATTTCATTCGGCTGCGGATTCGGACAGTCCGAATACCTAAAGTTGGCTGTTCGGAATAATAAGCTGAGTGTTGCGATAGTCATGGGAGATACCGTGCAATATGCAGCGGCTTTCAAATAAAGCAAAGCCGGAAGACCACAATTTCCTTGTCAAATTGACTGCTAGAGCTCTGTGCTGTGTTGGGCTATTGGTAGTACTTGTGGCTGATCGCTCCACCGTACCCTCATGGGGCGTCTCGTCAGTCTTTGCTCCCTCCTCTGACAGCCTGAAGCCTGTTTCTTATTCACAGTTGACATGAGAATCACCCCTGTATACTGCTCCAAGAGGCAAAAAGTTGGCGCGTAGAATTATCCATAGATGACAATGTTACTGCCTCTGGAATAGCCCGTGTTCCCAGGCAAGTGACGAGACTGACGCTGCGTACTTCGTATCGGTCTGCCGTACCGAAAATGCATCTGTCGTTGCAGACTGTTGTGGAATGACTTACACGATGTGGCCTTTCAAACACCAATGAAAATGTCATCAACCGGAACGTACCCAGCGGCTTTTTATCCTGTAGCGTATTGATAGTTTTTGAAGATTGTTTTATTACCGCAGCATGCCAAAGGTATTTTTAGTTGATTCTGCGGTACAACGAGAACACTTCAACAGCTATGTTTGCGTCGACTGCACAATAAGCATCTCATCCTTTTATTACCTTATAGCAAAAGAATAATTGGCTAATGTTATTCTATTGGGTTGTGTCGGTGAACGGCACTTTCTACGTTTGCACAAGGTAGTAAAGTTGCTGTGGTTTCACTGCGATTTCTCTATATTTGAACAGTTCTCCTTATGTTTTTGCCATGTTGAGTGTGAAAAGATCAGCTGTGGTATCTTTCCGTTTTGTTACAAAACCTGGGCGCCAAATACTACCGTACCAAAGGAAGTGCCCCTGGGAGTGCCAGCCAATTTTCTGGCGTTTTTCTGTGAGAATTACGCCAACAAGAACAGCACCATACGCACTGTAGTTCGGCATAGCGTATTTTTCGTATTAATGTGTTGTAAATAGCTTTTGGTGGTGCGCTCGGATGGTGACACTAGGTGTTTGATACCACTGCGTATACGCAACTTTGACCTAATTCCCTTACACGGTACACCAACTGTATAGTAATACGAATACTGCTTTCTGCTTTGCTCTAGTTAAAATAGCTCAACTACGTAAGGCAGTAATCAGAGCTTCATTAATATGCTACGTAGACTACTAGTCCTTCCGGAATACTTCCAGATCACTAATATCACAAGAGTCTCCCGATCAAGTCGAAGAAGCACACACAGAAGCCTGTGGTGTTTTAAGAATAAGGTATTCGGGTTCTATTCATTTTATGACTTCCTCGTATGTGTAAGCAAGAAAACTGGAGTAATTCAGTTAGAATATATTTTCCTCCATGGGTCATTTTCTTGAGTACTTCAAGCGGAAAGTGATTGTAGTGTACAACATACTCTCATACCTATTTTGTAACAGCTGTATGCTGTCCTCCGTTTTTTTCAAGAACTCAGCGTTCTACACTATCTTGGGTGTGAAGATCATCAGTATACATAAAAAGTATGCATAGAGGAGCAATAAATCATAGGTTCATAACATACGAATTCGCTTCTTTCAACCAGCCTTCACTAGCTTATATTCATAATAATTCTGCATGAACCACTAATTTTTCAGTTCATGAATCATAAAGCCCTGCCACTCATCCCTGCAAAGTGAACCCAAAGAATGTTAACATTGTGAACAGCTGCGTGACTGCAAATTGAATGTTTCTTGCTCTACACAAAACACACGAGCGTACAAGTGCGATTTTATTAACCAGTATGGCCTCCTCTTTAATTGTGGCGTCACATCCGTTTACCGGACGACACCTGCCGTTCGGAAGTAGACGTGCTTAAATGTTTTGCTCATTGTAGTTTAACTCCATTCCATCTACCGAACGCTTGGTTGAACGGTTCTTCAAGTTGTATTCGTGTCTCCCTGTGTGTCTGTTTATCGTCCGTTCGTTCGTACGTTCCCTACCTCAGTTTTCTGTCGACAGATTGGTTGCGCTGCCCCCTGTCCAATACGCCTATGAAGAGCGTATTGATCACAGACGTTGTACGCATTGCTTGTTTCTGTGTATACAGTATCTATATCACGCCTTTTGAGTACGGCTGTTCACGCTGGTTTAATATGTGGACACCGTCGTGTCAAATTGTCCGTTCTAGTCGTACCCTTTCTTGACGATAATACCTTCTAACTCGCAATAATTTTCCCGAGTTTTTCTTCTGGATATTCATGAGATAAATCAATATAGTCAGCTTTCATTATCCAAGACATGACTATTTTGACTAAAGCTCAGTAAGGGTGTTGTAGGTGTACATTGTCCAGATTAATCAGCCTACAAGCCAAAGTATAGTTGACCGTTCAGATGCTTCCCTAGATGCATGCAGCGCATGCAGAGCGACCTTTTCTGTGCGTACTTCGGGCATCGTGTGATTGCCCACTCACAAATGTGACTTGTGAAACAGCTTCTTGGTCCACTAGGGGACGATTTTTTTTGCAAATTACGCTATTTATTAACACTGAGTGCATGGCTAGACCAACGTTTATTCTCAGTTGAGATATCTCAGAGATTAAGACGTGAGCGGAAACTCTCATCTAACTTTCACAGTTTGTATCTAGACTTGGATATCTCATCACTTTCTTAGTCACAGTGCCTCCTTCGGGTCTCATAGGAGTTGTACTCTGTGCAGCTGATTGATTCTAAGCTGACTTGCATTTTGGACGCTGTCGGTAACAGCTTTCAGCACTCGCCACTGTCGAGCTCACTTTCGCTGCCTTCGGAAAGAGTGCTGTGGGTCTTCCAGCGTCCCTGGTTCTCTTCATCTGTTCCTTTGCACATTGGTGAAAACGATGATGGGTACGACCGGGAACCGAACTCAGTGGTAGACATGCTTATCGCTTTTTACCTGGGCTATCAACCCAACTTCCCTGTCTTTCGCCCTCTTCTCTTGATTAAGTTCAAGAGTTCAAGATTAAGGTTAAGTTCAGGTATGTGGGCACATTGTCATTGATTGTTTTCTTAAGGTTTCCATTTTGCATCCAGCCTCATCTTTTTCTGTTCTAATGAGATCTCTTGATTTCGTGGTCATTAGGCATATATCACTGTCGGTAATGATTTCGCCCCTAGTAGAACACAGGGTGTAGTTCGTAACCAACAGCAAAACATGCGTAAACATTCCGCTGTTTGAATGCAGGACTCAGAAGATTATGATTGGGAAGAGAGAATTCATGCTGATTATCGTTCTTTGCAATTTCCGGTTAAGTCGAATTCGGGTAGTAACGATGGATCTGAATAGATTCAGCTAGTCCAGGCATGCTTTGAACAGTTTAGATATCTCGTCGCGTTCTGCATTTCAAGCACTGATCATTCATAGATGATATTAAAATATGCGATTTTCACTGTATCCATAAGCTCGCAACCTTTTATTGGGGTAAAATACTCATCCGGGAACAAAACCGTCGAATTGGAATGGCTTTCCGGAGTTAAAGAATCGGGAGGAGGATGCTTGCTTTGAATTCTCCTTCAGAGACTCTTTGTGTTCATAATGATTCGTTGGCTAGTCGTTTAGCAACGTAACAACCACTTAGTGAGTTTGGTTTCTGTTTCAATTAGTTTGAGTGAATTATGTTGTTTTTACTTCAAAATTAACCCCTCTTCGTGCGTCTCTCGGTTAGAACCCCCTCGGATTGATTAGTGTCAAAAACGAATTTGCAAGTGCTCCGTCACAAGTGTTGTTCCTTTGGACAGTGTTTGAAACTCACTGTCGTCCCGGTCCTCTCACCCCAACAAGAACACGGAAAACAGAATGCGATACCATTTTTATGTTAATTAGGGGCAGAAAAGTCACTCGCTATTGTCGTTTCAGGAGTGTGTGACCGGTCGAAGCTACGCGATGTGTAGTTCAATGTGCTTCTTGTCGAAGTTTATGTCAGTGTTCCTCAGAGGTATACGACAACTCTATCGATCAGATTTTTGTTTCTGTTTTTTAGCACGGTTTTTAAGCTGCAGTTCGAGCATTTCGTAATTTGTGAATATCTTCACTGCCATCGCTTTATTTTGGATAGTGAATACTATCCCATAGCTCTCTGCAGTTACGCAAACACCAGTGCCTACATTCTTCTAACTTAGCTGCAGCGGAATCCTTTGTGGATGTAGACTGACTCCAAATATAATATGAGGAGGCTAATTCCCCTTTTTTGTAACGTCTTACTTTCTAGAGCTGTGACTTTATTCTATGAAACTGCTTGTCATAGTCACCAAAATGTTTGTTTCTGTTCAGAAGAGTTTGGTAAACAAATCGGTTTGAATTTCAGCTATATCTCACCCTTCATGGATGCCTCCGCTTCTTTCATCCAACGGCCCCAAACACTTGAGCAAGCACAGCAGCACTCAGTTTCGAATGGTTTCCACCCCAACTGTCAGCAGTCGTCCTCGAAACCGATCACCCTACCTTGCTCACCGTCGCCAGGCCAACAACCGCGCCAAAATGTAGATCCAGTCCATCAACCAATGGTCTTCCAGGATATATCAGCGTCAACATCGCAACAGCAGAAAGCAGAACAACGGTTGCAACCATCGACCATTGATGACTCGCTTTCTTCTGTTCCTCACAATTCCGGTGGATCGTCCCACTTATCTACTGACACCACAGCTCCCTCATCCACTGTTCACCCAGGTCAAACTGTCAGCTCTGAACCTGTCTCGAATAATGTCCCTCACTCGGATTCAAATTCTCCGGTAAACGGTGTCAGACCTTCATCAGGTATCCCACGACTTCGACCGTCTGCCATCCCTAGACTTGTTAATCCGCGAGTTGACGACTCTGTACACATTTTGGAGCGAGCTAGTTCGATCGGTAATGCAAGTCCACATCGAACTGCATCTTCCTGTGCAAGCCCCTGTGATAAGCCACATGACGGCCCAATAAGTTTACCACAAACACCATCTGGCGCATTTACCCGCCCATTTTTACACATAACTCAGTCTCCTGTTGAGCCTTCAAGTCCTCCAAACAATGATCAACACGTGGGATCTTACTACGCTGATCGGTCTCGCACCTCCTCACGCCCTGCTAACGCTTGTCGAGTTGAACGGACGGCCTCCGAACGTGAGTGTTTGTTAGCGTTTGACAGTTCTCAACTAAAGTGGAGTTCTGTGCCTATCGTATTATGCAATTTTAACTGGTGGACCTCATTTTGCCTCGCTAAATTATTTCGGACTTGTTTCACCAGTCCCATCCGTAGTGCTTTGTGTGTGCGTACCTTAGACTACTTGACCGGGTTAAAACATTTGTTAGACACACTGTTCATCCCTTAACTAAGCCTCAAAGGGTTTTCTTCAACAGGTGTTCTATATATGTTTGCTTGTGGAACAGGTGACCACGACTGCACAGTTGTGTCGATTGTCAATTCTGTCCACAGTATATCACTTTTACGATGGATAGTGCGATTTCTGTTTATTTTGGGGCTCCCATAGGTACGAGCTGTGCATCCAGTTAATTGACGTACGTTAATTGGCGTACAGCAGAAGGATAGTTCAAATAAGATGGAGTATATAAGACTAGTTATTCCTTCTAAAAGCACTCGTGCTGGAATTTATCCGAAGCTCATATCTATCGAGAAGGGAGTCGATAAGTATTCCAACATACCGAAAACATTATTCATAGCGCCTGCACGCAGTAGTATCTGGTGGTTTTTGCCGAAGCTGAATGTGGATTCTTTCAAGTCCACTAAGAGCTGCATATGGTGCGAATTCGTGTGGGCTAAAGTATAGGGGGGATGAATGTGGTGTTGGAGCTGGGTACACTTGTAAAGTTAGCCAATCAGTAAAAGGCTGGTTTTCGTAATCGCAGCGCCCCTAGTAAGGGGTGCGGAGACGTTCGACCTGTACAACTGAATTCTGGTGTGATGCAAGAGATAATGCATTGCCCAGTCTGCTTGGAGCGTTTTGCTGGTTTAGCTGTCGGTTGTGAGAGTGAGTGACTAGTTCGCGCCTACTTTCCAAATCTCACTGATTCGTTTTTGTTATTTCTTTTGAGTGTTGCTGATTACAACCTTCCCATCTTATATCTCAGTAGGTTGTGATCATTCTACTGTGAAAACGCTTTGAATAACCGAATATCCTTCAATAGACACTTTCGGCGAATCATCAACCGCAGTAAGCTCGATGCCGGGGTCGGTCTCAATCCAAGCTAGTAGGTGCTCTGGTGAGTCAGGTCGATCACTCTCTATTGAACCAATGAGCACCCGAGGGTTATGGGTTTGATGCACCCGTGTAGGTACTGAGACTGGGTCTGGATGTTTAGTGGCATGCTAAAGACAACCACTCCTTTTGTTATTGGGGGAGGAACTGTTGACATGCGATTGAATTGCGCTACGCTCTTAAAGTGGCCTTTTTCAAGCTCGCCAACGGGAGTAAATTTTTCATCTGCATCCAATGAGCTCTTTCTAAGTTACTGTCTGTCCGTCTAAGATGCATGCTCACGAAGACATCCGTGTTAATCAGATTCCTTAGGAAATATGTCCCTACTCTGCGTTGCTCTAGAGAATTTTTGACAAATTCACTGTGACTGCAAGCTCACACCGAGATACATGTGATCGGAGATGGATCGTAAAATCGTGTATCCAGGTGTTAGAAAGGAATATCGCGAATGTGATAGAGTTTCGCAACAAGCTCTCATAGATTTGCAATTAGTCTTTCCACAGTAGCGCTGAACAAAATACGGAAACAAGGTGTCTGATTAAAATTCTGTATCCCATCACGCACTGCCTAATCAACAAATACTCGGACGCAGCTATGTGGTATATACTCAGGTCTTCCCTTATAAGGTCTATTTGAACATTTACACCTATGTGCGATGCTGCTCAGTTCATTTTTTCATCAAGAAACTACGTACGTTCTAACCGTACACCAAAAGGATCCATTCCCTTGCCAACGAAATCCAACGAGGTCTATCCATCTGATTTTACCTGCGGATATACATACAACGTTCATGGCCGGTGCACTAGACAAACCAGCCAGGTCACAGCTACCCTGTGAGGTTGATAACTGACTTCCCTGTCAAAAGAACTCAAAATCCTCGTTTTGCTTGTCTGATTTCGCCACGAACCTTCTCATCTAGTGTTAAGGACATCAAAACACTGAAGCCATCACATTGGGCAAGCGAGTCAGACAGACATGAATGCACAGTTTAACCAAGTCGCACACCTAGGGTGAAAATATCTCGTGAATGGAATAGCCTTAACATTATGCTCCCTTATGCGTAATCCGCTTCTCAGGTTAGTGTGGCATGGACTATGCCTAGAATCTGCCGGCGCAATTAAACAGCCGAAACTTCAGGATAACAAAACTTGCACAATCATAGGAGTCGAGTAGTGCTGTAGCTACGAATTCAGCCTTCGGTTTCTTCTAAGCGCTGTAAGTCGTGGCCAGAAATACCAAATTTCAATAGTGTATCTGAATTCAGAGTGCTCGAAAGTTGGAGAATTCAACTGCTAGAAACCTGAAAACGTTTATGAAGACTGACGGTATATGAACCAAATTGTTTGATTTGAAACACTTGCAAAATTTGCACCTAGTGTAGTGGTCGTTAAAAAATCTCTCTAAAGTTGAACGTCGCTTGTAATCGGTGACGCACATACGTAATCCCACGTAGCTAGTATACTGTTGTATCTTTAGCCCTCCTCAGTATTTGGTCAATTTATTTTTGTATTGACCCTAAGTAACCCCAATGTCGACAAGCAAACGCCGTCGCGACAGCACATGCGTCCATAAGAAAGGTGGAACTGAACTCTCGGTCATTCTAATCATATGTTTGCATATTCTTATCTTCACAAGGAAACCCGATTGATCCGATAAATCTATAGGTTCTTGTTCATTTTTTCTTAGGCATGACCCATTTAGGTACTCGGCGAGGGCGCGCCTATGTTCATACTTTCGTCTGATTTTTTCAGGCCCGTCTTTGTTTCAGTTAGACCACACCCTTTCTGTCCTATAAACCTACGAACTTCAAGTGGTACACACTGACGAATATCACCAGGACACGTGCGTACCTTCGCAAACTGGTGTTTGCGTCTGGTCTCAGGCTTTGCAACAGCACATGCTGCTTGAACAACACTTCTTTAGTTGTCAGTAACGCAGTCAGCTTGCCTGTATGGTTATGGTGATTCGACCATTATTTTACCTAAATGAACCAAGTTTATGAATCAAGGCTCCTTGATAGGAACAGTGGCGGCGCATGTCCAGGAGGCGATTACCTCATTGAAGTTTTCCACAGTAGCTCTAGAGCACAAAGTAACAAGCAGCTATCTGTTACGCTTCGCGTGCTTCAATACTGCTGGGTTATGCGCCACGAGTACCTCTAGCATTTACTATTGTCCATCATTGGCTTTAACGTCCCATTAGACTTTTACTAAACTTTTTTTATCATTTTCCCTGTAGATCCCCAACGTCCTGCTGACAATGAGTCGGACACTTCGAGCGTAAGTTTATTCCTCGTCTCAGCTCCAACCACCAGCTATACTTGGTAACCAGATTCAGGGTTTCGACATACCGATGGAGGAAAATCCCATTGCGTTCCTTGATTATTTTGGTAATTATCATTCTGATCGATCAATGGTAGTTCCAGAGCGTTTTTAATGTGATATGCACACACTACGACCGTCTGTGGGTGGATCGGCCAAGTGATGGGTTGTTGGCTTGTAGTTAGCTATTCGCTTGCGATAATCTAGTTTTCACGCACCGGTGCATGCCTATACTGGTGCGTTTTGTGCGTGAAATGTCTAGCCATGTGCGATACTGTTTGTTGCACTTCTGGGGCGGTATTTCTTCCGCAAAGGATTTCCTTCAGCTGATGCTAATGACAAAATGGAACTATGGTTATTTTCACGATTTTCCCAATTACGTTTCCATTATTGCATTCGGTTTATCGTGCTCCACTAATCTGTACACACTGGTGGCCGGTATGTTTCGGCCAATTTCTGGAGCTCAAGGTTTAGCTTCCAGCTACCATCAATTCAGGTTTTTTTTTAAACGGAATCACCAATCAGATTACACGCCCATCACTTTTTCAGCTTTAAAATGTGCTTCCAATCAATGTGCTACCCAACGTCGGCTACCAAATAGTGTCCCGATTCGAGGGCTTAACGATGTGCCTAGTTGACCTGATTTTACGATCGACCAATTTTACACAGTTTGGTGTTTATCGAACACCAGAATGACTGTACCCGGTTCGCTTGGTTTGTGGCTGGTGAAATAGCCTGAATTCCATCGTTTGTGACCACCCATATTTTCCACTCCATCTGCTTTTTTAGTCGACGGATTGGAGCAGCGTTTGGCCAGTGGGTTTTGTGTAGTACCATAAAACTGGTCCATAAGTTGCCAATCCATTTTAGGGATGATACACGCATGGTTAATGAATACAAGCAGATTATGGGACGAGCACATCATGTCGAAAGGTTTCAAATTGGTGTACTCCGCATCTTCACAGACGGCAGAATTTTAATCTGTCCGGATGCCTTTTTCACCGGTGGTTATTAGTCCTCGTTTCAGATCGTCCGGTAGCTCAGTCTTCAAACCATAAACTTTGGCTACTTCGCTCATGTCTCATAGACTTGATTCAATTTAGATGTGGGCGGTGAGCTGATCACTCAAAGTCCTTAAGACCATAGAACAAATGAAAGATGTGGAGTACTTAGAAAACCAGTACTTGCAAAAAATTTCGTTCGACAGCACGCCCTCTACTTCATTATCTCATTCAAATTTCAACTGTCTAGTGTGTAAAGCTTGGGTCAGTCTTGCGTGCTATCCGGCATTGCGGATTACCATAGTGTATCTACCGTTGGTTCGTCGACTTTCAGTACTTTCTAATGGGTGGATAGTACTGTGACACTGCGACTACAGTAGGATTTCTTCAAACGATCGACTGCCACGCCACTACAAAGCCAACCAGAAGTTGCACCGATTTCAGTCAAGCATAATCGAATGCCCCATCCATGGTTTCAAACAGCTGTTAACAAATTAGCTTATATACTAATGAAAACTCAGTGCCATTTCTCATTGACTTGGGATTTCCATGGAGCCAACTGTAACCTTTCCCTTGATTGGTTTCTGGGATTACGAAATTAGGCCAAAGGATCCATGATTTCGCCAAAATGAGTGAATCTACTTAACACCACGCCGCCTACACTACTCTAAGTTCTAGACTAGAACAAGATTACTGAGTACTGGTGACTTTAGCTGCAGGGCTTCAATCTGGAATCGATAACGTCAGTATGCTGTTTCGGCACGTGATTAAGGTGCCGGCGTGAGCGATCGTTAACTCTACAGCTTTCAAACCGGCAGGAAATTTGACCGACCTACGCATGCTTCTCGCCAAGCTTACGAAGTCGCGTTTTGGCACCTTGATGAAGTTTTCGAACGATCCCAATGATTTCAGTGAGACCGAGAGTCCTAAGAACCCACCGATCAGTATGTCGTTATACTGAATGGTGTGGTGGGATTGTGGCGAAAGAATGTTAAAGGCATCCAGACTGAAGGTATCATGAAGAGACTTGAAATTTCACCTCATATCTTTGAATCAGTTTACCAGTGTACGCCGCACCGGGAATACGGGAATACAACTTGACGTATTTTTACAAGTCCAACTGGGTGAAACATAGAGTGAACCAAATGCGGTATTACATGTATGAAATGTATATATATGGAGGATACAGAAACCCCAAATTTTGGGAATATCCGTCTAAATGCGCGGATTAGTTATAAGAACGGTGTAGAAACAATGCACTCGGAGAAAGCGGGATAATTGATTTAACTTAACGATAGATCCGTGGGCAAAAAACATGGTAACTCAATTTGTCAAATGTGCGCGCGACAAGTTTGTGAAAATTGGCTCAAGTTAGGGATCAAAAGTTCATGAGAGAATACGGGTGTCCCTACTGTGGGCCAGACGCAAGAAAACACTGGTTTCAGGAAAGGGTTTTGACAATCGAGAGGAGAAACAATGGGTCATATATGACTTTCTTCTACATCATCTCAACAGGACTGCTCTGTTGTTCACCGAAGGGAAACTTACAAACTTGGTCAGTATGAAAAAGCGCACCTGATGATCAGTATTCCTTGGCCTTGAGCAGGAAGTATATCCACTACTACGAGCTGAGTCATTTCGCCAGGATGCTACTCGGGAACTGTAAGATCAACCAAAGTAGGTCAAGTCTATCTACGATTAAGCAGCTGCAACTGCTCAACCACGACAACGGCCGGATTTCCAACTTTTCACTGACATGGCTTTCGATGACATTTCCAAAAGGAACTGTCAAAATGGATGTATCATCTGGTACCCCGTGCATGTTGGATGGGTCACGGACGTAACTGAAAGACATTCCGTCAACGGTAACAACTATACACTACAACGAGACGTCCAACTTCGACTTTTGGTTTGGAGTCCAATCCTTGGACTATTCAGGAGTTGAATTTCATTGCTACTAACTGACGATTTAGCGCATTTGATTGAGCCGTTCACCGGTCTCGACAATTACGCCCTCGTTTCTCATTGATATTGGATTGTATTTCTTGGATTAGCCAGCTTATCACCAATGGGTTTTTCGACTGCCGAAACTTTGTGGGATGACTTGAATTCCGAGCATAAACTATAGGGCATCTGTAAGCAGTCACAAGAGCGGACGCATCGATGGGTAGGGCTAGTTGAGTTCAGATGTAACCGGTGTACGATAGCGAAGGCTTGTTCTTTATCGATGACGTGATTGGTTTCGTTCAAATGTGATGTACTTTTAATTGAGCCTGGTTTTCTTCCAACTACCACTCAGAGACATGAGATTGTCTGTCCGACAAATGCCTTCTCGTACGACTAACGTATGATGTTCGACTTTAGCGTTCAAATGAGTACACAAAAACGCTGATGGTACAGTGTGGCAATTAGTCTTTCAAAGGGGAAGCCTTAATGTGGCTGGAGTGGAAGTTCATACAGATTAGCAGCCATGTATGTCGTATCCTCATAGTTTCTATGCTTATGGTAATTATCAGCAATCGAGTTACCTTTGAATGGAAGCCTCATGTAGACGAGCTTATTCCCAACTTAACAGTCAGGCATCTAATTAGCTTACGCTTCTGTTACAACTGAACGAATCTATCGAAGTGACTATTCCACGTTTGCTCTGTGTGGACCCCATGTTTCTGTCAGTCTTATTTGTAATACTGCCATCGAGGAAACTTGTCCCCTTCTGGCTCGAGTGTCTTATTGCATTCACGTGCTTTCCTGCACGCTTTGTGACCGCAATCAATTGACTGTTTTTTCTTTCTCCCTTCTTCTCTCCATGACCAGGCCTTCTCTAGCAGTGGTAAGTTGTACTGATTTTACCATAGTTGTGAGCAACCAAAATTTACGCAAAATTTGGGCAGCTCAGTTGCGCTTACCTATTGTTATTCTCGATTGAGATTTTATCCTGTCGTTGAAACCAATATATGCCGAAAACACCGAAGGGGCACTGTACAGCTGTTTCATCCTTATTAGGAATCATCCCAGAAATTCAATTTCGAAACCGCGACCTACCGGCCAGTAATTCAACACTTCACTGTTCCACGACCAGCGGCTGAACAGCAGTTTGGTTAGCTCCCCTTTAGAACTATATGGCGCCGCTCATCCTTCAGTCACGGACCACATCACGTGGCTACGTATTGGCTGGCCCCTCGGGTATCGATTTCTTAGATGGAAAATTTCACTCACCTCTTTCAGTTATTCCTCCTCTGAGCTACTTATAGATTGGTGGTGGTGTGTGGAACGCGCCAGGAGCTTAGCACCCGCGTCCACGCGGCTAGTGGTTCGAGCATTCAACCGTTTGGCTATAAGTGGCTGATCAGCGGAGTGATGAGCTTTAATTTAAAGATTTACATAGCTCACTGACCCGCTTAAACGACTGCCAATGAGAAGCGCTCGTAAGCGTCTTCACGCCTTATTCCTGAGAGTTCAAGGCAGAGTGTGACTGAACTACTGCTTCAAATTTTAGACACTGAATTCCATCAACCTGTTTGTTCGAGTGGCGGAAATGCACTTAGAAACGTAGGTATTTCGGCTACTTTGCGAGCAACTACCATAGCAGGTTGCATAAAGTGGAATCCAAATACACTTATGTCAAGTATAACCCGATGGTAATTTTAAATTGTAACCTGACACCTACCAAAATGGTCGGTGGGTCGACATAGACCTAGGCACAATTAGTATAACTTCCGTTTTGTGTTAGCTGGACTTTGATTGCCGACGTCTGACGTTTTGATTAATCTTTCATGAGATCGATGCGGTATGAACATACAGGTGACGGAAAAGGTACCGATCCAGATGTACTTTAATTCGTAGTGATTTTTTTGAAATCGCAATGGTTTACTCCTGCTACTGACTGCACAGATAACCTTCTCCTTTCAAGCTCGCTCTCCGCCAGTAACTTACAACCAAACATTATTCCTCAAAAGGGCAAATAGTGTTGCACCTGGACAAAATTTTTATGCTCTTGTGGACATCCTGGTGCTGGAGTTTTGGAGTCGAAGCGGCCTAAGTCATACTGTTGCTTGCTCAGAGGCCGGTTCTTAACTGCACATAGGCAATGCACACGTCGGAAATTTTACAAAGGGTGGGTTCACTTGAGTCTCTCCCAAAAACCTTGTAAATCAGTGTTTTGTTTCACGTGCATCCAATTTGGCGTTTAAGTACGGAATAGGGATGTTTAAAATTCAGGTACTATGTCTAACGAATGAGTACCAAAAAGAGGAAAGCCGGTAATGGAGCGACCAAAGGTTTTCGTCGACATAATGGGTAGTTCCATGTCAGGAACAGAAATTTTTGTGTGGGTTGTGATCCAAAAGTCCACGATCCTGATTCTAGCATTAGGTAGTGAGCTGTCCTGGTGTTTTTGGTAGATAGTTGAGACAAAACAGCAAAAGGCTATAGTTTTATTTATTTTATAGTGCGAGACTTATAGACCCCTAACTTAGATTATGGACTCTATCTGCTATATCATTCACAACCTTAGCAGGGTTTCATAGCGGGGACCCCCTCGGGTTACGCAGTCTGAGTGATCGAATTCAGGCCGCCGGACCCAGTGCCATTCAAGTCATTATGAATAAATGTGCCCGACAGGTGTTTATCTTCCCGCATAATGACATGCATTCGGTTTTCCACGAGCAGGCTGAACTGTAAGTTTCTATTCACTGTTTATCATCTCAGTCTCACCAAACTTTACACCTGTATCCTCCTCCTTCACTTACTAGTTCAGATTACCACGCTTTCAAGGCTTGGTTGTTCCGAACATCTTGTGGGAAGTATCAGACAAGCGAATTATCGGTCGGTCTCTTGGACCTATCACTCACATACGTTTTGTTAGGCGGGATTTATCGTAGGCGAGGGTGGTGAGCAACCTGATTGCCCAGCGAATGCCTGATATGTACATAGCATTTTTCTAGGCAATCTTCAGCCAAAGTCACCGGGTTCTAGGTCCCGGGAGGCATATAGTCAAAATTCGGGTATTCAAGGGAGAGACGTTGCGTCCCGTTTCGTTTTTAATAGGCATCCACACTGACCTTTGTAACTATA